TCTTCTTCTCTATTTCATTTGCAAATCTTAACATGATATCAGAGAAAGTTCTGATCCATTCATAGCTTTCGCGGATCCAACTCCGCAATGAGTTGGCTGAGGGATTGCAGAGGGACAGCGCCCGCCTGGTTGGGGAAAGCCTCAAAATTTTTTTCGGGGATCTATTTGCAGTTTCTGGGTCATTTCGCAGTCTTTAGCGATACCCAATTTTCAGCGTCATTTACAGGCTCCAATGATATACCCAATTTTCCTCGTCATTTGTAGTCTTCAGCATTATACCCAATTGCACTTTTTTGGGTGATCTATGTTTTTGTATTTGATATTCTTGTTCTTTGTTTTCTATTTTTATTTTGATAATAATAGCAATGATTGATGAAAAAAACGATTCTCTTCAATTTATTAACGTGCAATTAAATGGACAAAATTATTTACATTAGAGTTATGTATTGAAGAATTTTTTGAAAGGCAAAAGAATGTGAGGTTATATTTCTAGAACCTCTTTTAAGTCCATAGATAAAGAAGATGAAAAGTATGAAAAAAGGTTAGAAGTATAGGAAGCAAGCAATTCAAAAATAATCACTTCAATCAAGAACTCGTTTTCTAAATCAATCGGTGTCCAATTAGCAAAATATGAAACTGTCGAAGAAGTTTGAAATCATTTGGAAAGATTATATGTGTAGTCAATTTTTGCAAAGTAATATCAATTAGAGATAGATATTCACGCTCTTCAACAAAACAACATGAGCATCCAAGAATTTTATTCTATCATGACTAACATTTGGGATTACTTATCTCTTACTGAATCTGCAGAATTATGAGCTTTTAGACCATACACTGATCATAGAGAAGAACAACGTTTGGTTCAGTTTTTGTTGGCTCTTCGAGATGATTTTGAAGGGCTTTATGGAACAAATTTACATCGCAGCCCTCTCCAATAGTTAACTCAGTGGTTAAAGAGTTATTAGCTATAGAGATTTGTCTCAATTCTCAATCTGAGAAAGGGAATGTAGAGAAAGGGATCTTCCCCACTCCTAATCCATCTATTTTTGTAGCTACTCATAATAAAAGCAAATCTTATAGAAAGGTTAGTTTTGATGAATGTAACTTTTGTAAGCAAAAGGGTCATTGAAAAGCTCAATGTCCAAAGTTGTTGAACAAATCACAGCAGACACAACAAGTCAATCAGTTGCACCGACGAAGCTTCAGGACTCCAACTTCAAATGTTGCAGCTGTTGTTCCTCCAAAAGACTCTTGGTGTTGGACATGCATATTCTTCAAGCCCTACAACAGCCACATTTACTAAGCAGTTTTAAAAGTTTCTTGTCACACAACCATATGCCATGTCTGCCTCCTCAAATACAAGTTTACCTTCCTCTAGTTCATCAGGTATATCTTCTTCTATTTGGATTCTTGACTCTAGAGCCTCACATCATATGTCATCAGATTTTACATCATTTGTATCCTTACATCTTGCATCATTTGTATCAGTCATGACAGTTGATGGTACTCTTATGCCATTAGCAGGCACTGGGTCTGTATGCACACCACATTTATCCCTTTCAAATGTTTAATATATCCCCAATCTTACTTTGAATCTTGTTTATGTTGGTCAATTGTGAGATTCTGGTTTCTTAGTTTTTCTCTCTTCCATTCTTGTTATGTGCAAGATCCGCAATCCAGGAAGCTGATTGGGACAGGTCGTAGGCAAGGGGGACTTTATATTCTGCATGTGCTAAGAGTTTCAAAAGTTGCAGCTTCCAGCATTGACCTGTCATCATTTTTTTTAGTTCATCATCTTCAAATTTTTATCTATGGCACTCTTGTCTTGGACGTGTCTCTTCTTATAGTCTAAAATACTTAGTTTCTACAAGAATTTTGGACGAGTTACAAACTCATGATATTTCTGATTGTTATGGTTGTAAACTTGCTAAATTTTTTGCTTTACCCTTTTCTAAAAATGTTTCACTTTCTATTGAACCTTTTAACTTGGTTCATTCTGATGTATGGGGTCCATCTCATGTTCTTACCAAAGGTGGATCAAGATATTATGTCTCATTCATTGATGACTATACTCGTTATTGTTTAATTTATCTTATGAAAAATCGTTCTGAATTTTTTAGTATTTATCATATATTTCGTGCATTTGTCAAAACTTAACATAATGTTGTTATTACGTGTTTTAGGTGTGATCTGGGAGGTGGATATACCCTGGGAGGTAAATATACCTCTACTAAATTCTCTGAATTACTTGCCTCTGATGGGACTTTTCTTCAAATTTATTGTACTGACTCTCCTGAACAAAATGAAGTTACTGAAAGGAAACATCGTCACATTGTTGAAACTGCTCATTCCCTTTTTTATCTGGATTTGTTCTAAGTGAATTTTGGGGGGAATCTATTCTTACTATGGTATATATTATTAACAGAATTTCATCTTCTGTTACTTCAGGTTTGTCTCCCTTTGAAAATTATATGGTATATGGTCACTCTTCTTATTATTTCGCTTTGAGAGTTTTTGGTTCTACTTGCTTTGTTATTCTTCCTCATGTACAACGTAATAAATTATCTTTGCGTTCGACAATCTGTGTATTTCTTGGTTATGGTGATGGTCAGAAAGGATATCGTTGTTATGATCCTGTCACTCAAAATTTTTTTGTCTCATGTCTTGTTGTATTTCTTGAGCATATACCATTTTACTCCATGTAGACTTACAATATTTAAACTTGTAGATTGAAGGGAAAATTAGAACAACTCACATTTTGTGTAGGCTTACAATATCTCATAGCCTTACAAAGTCTGATCTTATCTCAATTGATCATTTTCACACTGATACAATACAAATATTGAACCTCCTCATATGATTCATCATCCAAATTATTTTGATATTGAGCTTTGCAGAATTGACACTAGTAGCTCTGCAGATCCTGATGCTCCCCCAATCTCTACTGCTCCCCAAGAATCTTCTATGACCGTGGATCCTTCTCTTCCTCATTACCCTCAACGTGATCACAAGTCCACTAAATTGCCAGATTTTTTTTACTCCACTTATTCTACTTCTTTTGCTTCCTTTTTAACCTCCATTCACAATTTTTCTGACCCTTCTTCCTATCAAGAGGTTGTTCTTGATACTCTTTGGGAGCAAGTTATGGCAGAAGAACTTTCTGTTTTGCATAAGACAGATACTTGGGACCTTATCTTTCTTCCTCCAGGAAAATGTGTAATTGGTTCTCGTTGGGTGTATAAGATTAAAATCAAGTTTGATGGGCCAGTTGAGCGATATAAAGCATGTTTGGTTGTTAAGGGACTTTCTCAACATTATGGTCTGGATTATGAAGAAACATTTGCTCCTGTTGCCAAAATGACTACTATTCGTACTCTTATTGCAGTCGCCTCTATTCATTAGTGGCATATCTCTCAAGTGGGTTTTAAAAATGCATTCTTAAATGGTGATCTTCAAGAGGAAGTTTATATGGTGCCTTCACCAGGTGTCTCTCATAAACATGATGAAGTTTGTAAATTAAAAAAAGCTCTCTACGGCCTTAAACAAGCTCCTCGAGCTTGGTTTGAAAAGTTCTCAAGCATCTCTTGGTTTTCATTTTAGCTCACATGACATTGTCTTGTTCCTCAAGAGGACCTCCCATGATTGTCTCCCATGGTCATATCATACTCTTTTTATATTTTGATGACATGATTATTACTGGGGATGATAATAATGGGATTGTAGAGTTGAAATTACAATTACCTCAACATTTTGAGATGAAAGATTTGGGTACTCTTCTATATTTTTTGGGGATTGAAGTGGCTCATTCTCCTAGAGGTCATCTTCTTTCCGATTCTAAGTACATTGACACCATCCTTGAGCAAGCTCGTCTCTCTGATACTCGTACAATTGTTACTCCTCGTGAACGTAATGCTCACTATGCCTCTTCTGATGGTGTTCCTTTGCCTGATCCCACTTTGTATCATACACTTGTTGGCAACTTGGTATATCTTACCATCACTAGACCTGATCTTCCTTATGCAGTACATTTTGTTAGTCAGTTTATTGCCTCTCCTACTACAGTTCATGGAAGCTGTTCTTCGCATTCTTCGTCATCTTCGGGGCACTCAATTTCAAAGTCTTATCTTTTATGCATCTTCTTTCTTGGAATTACATGCCTACTCAGATGCTGATTGGGGTGTTGATTCCACTAATAGTAAGTCTACCATAGGATTTTATATTTTTCTAGAAGATTCTCTCATTTCTTAGAAGAGTAAGAAGCAAGAAGTTGTCTCTTGCTCTTCTACCGAAGCTGAGTATTGTGTCGTGGCATCCACCACTGCAGAAATTATTTTGTTGCGCTGATTACTTGCTGATATGGGTGCACTTTCTCTAGCCTAACTCATATGTGCTGTGATAACAAGAGTGCTATACAAATTGCCCGCAACTCAGCCTTTCATGAGCTCACCAAACATATTGAGATTGATTGTCATTTCACTCGCCATCACTTTCAACTTGACAATATCACCTTACCCTATATTTCTTTCTCCATTTAACTTGCTGAAGTATTTATGAAATCACATTCCACTCAACGCTTTTCCTTTTTGACTAGCAAACTCTCGATGATTCCCCTTGATGCATCATGAGTTTGAGGGGGGATGTTAGATATTATAGGCTTTATATTTCTATTATTTTACTCTACTTAAGGATAGTTTAGTCTTTTCGCTTATTGTATATATATTTATCTTTTACTCTTGTAATGAGGTGATTGATGCAATTGAAACCCTAGCCATTTTTCCATTGTCTCTTCTCTTCCTCTTCCTCTTCTCTATTTCATTGCAAATGTTAACACAGAGAAAGTACTTGTCGAGCACGAGAATTTTCTTCAATCAGAGTTAGATCTTACTGCTACTGACATGTCTTAATTATCCTATAAAATTTATTAGTATTGCAATATTTATTTTCTAATGATTTACATTTACTTTGTGGACGTTTGGAATCATTGTTGTTTTTATTTTCTATTTATTTATTTTTATTATGTTTTTCTTATGTTTTGATTTTAAAGAGCGCATGTCTAGCATATTTAATTAAAATATGATTATTTTTAAGAACAGTCAAAACACCTAAAAGTTGTTTCGAGTGTTTACAAAAAAAATGTTAATTTGTTCTAGAAACAAAAAGATAAAACATATATAAAGCATTAAACAAATATATATTAAAAATAAATTTAAAAATTTAAATGAAAACAAAAAACAAAATTGATCCCGAATAAACACTTCCTGCTCTTTCATAAAAAGCAAAGAGACCATTTTGTATTGATATAACCAAGTATTGTTGATTTTTAGAACACAAAATAATATTGCAGAGATGAACCAAAACAATGTGCAGAAATTTCATTCAGAGATGAATAAAAAACTTCATATTTTGCGTAAAATTTTCTCAAATTATGTGAGGCAGCAGGAAAATTAACTGAAATAAATAGAAGCAGACATGAAATTATTTCAATCTATCAAGGCTGTGGTAAACACATTATAAAATGAAGAAACTTGCTATTCTATCAAAATTGAAATTATATTTATAAAACTTGCTATCCATTTCTGTTGTGAGATATGTACTTCCTGACATAGAAATGAGACGAAAAAGGAACACAAGCAAACACAGATCGTTTACGTGGTTCGATCCAACTGGATCTACGTCCACGGGAGGGAATCAATCAAATATTTCACTAAGGTAAAAGAAATGGAGAATACATAGCTTATACATAGAGATGAGCTCTCATCTTCCTTCTATGGCCTCCCTTTCATGCGACACCTTGATACAAGGCCTCAAGATGCTCTCCTCCTCTCTAACTCTATAGTTATTCTCTCCTCTTTTGTGGTAGCTTAAAATCTCTTCCCCTTTTGTTCTCCTAAGCCTCACACCCTCTCTATTTATAGAAGCAAGAGAGTGGTAGGTGGGAGGTAGGTGGCCAGTAGGTGAGCGGTAGGTGTGATGTGGTAGGTGGCGGGGCCATATTACAAAATTGCCCTTTCACCTTAGATCATTAATTGGGGGTCAAAATAATAATTTTAATCTATTCAATCCATTAAACTTTTACCGTAAATCTCATGGTATAAATTCTTCATTAGTTGAGTAACTTGAAACTTACAGTGTTTACGAGCATGCTTCACAGCTCACGTAAACTTTTTTTAAGGCAACTTATTCTTTGCAACTTTACTAAATGTATAAAAACGAAGTTAGCATAAACACAAACCGTCATATCGAAATCGTAAAAATCACTATTCAATTAAGCATTAATTTTGATAAACACACTAATCTCAAGATGATACAAAATAACTAAACCAACGTTCAATTTTAATAACCCATGTTCAACCACCTTCACCAACAAAAAACCAGCATGCCTTAAGAAACACTAAGGATTTGTGTGCTTCACAAATTTTGGTTTAGATATTAAAAATATGTTTCATAAAAAAAAGAGAAAAGAAAATTGGTTCAGATTGGTTATCCTTCAATCGACAAGCAGATCCAACCACCAATTCTAAATCAGTGACAACGGGAGTAGCGGTTACCATGTTGGTTTCTTGAAATGAGAAAGAAGAGAAAACTTAAGAGAATTATTGTAGATTGAAGGGAAAATTAGAACAACTCACATTTTGTGTAGGCTTACAATATTTAAACTTGGAGCTAATAACAAACTTCCAAGAAAAAGACTTAAAAATCAGCCAAGAAAATAACATGAAACAAAATCAAGAAAAATAGCAACTAACTCTTAAGATTAAGGAACAAACTTGACTCAATTAAACCTAGACTCAATAAGCAGTCCTAAGCATGTATTCCAACACTCCTACTTGCTTTAGGAGCTGCAAACACCAAATTTCTGCCTTAGAAACTCAAACTTGTTGATTAAAAGTGAATTTGTAAATAAATCTGCCAACTGAACTTCAGATTTGCGTAAACCAGAGTCACAAATTCTTCTTTCTGTACCTCTCTTAGAAAAAAATAACTTAATGTTGAAATGTTTTTTCTGTACTTCTCTTAGAAAAAAATAACTTAATGTTGAAATGTTTAGTTTTCCCATGAAACACAGGATTATGGGAAATGGAAATGACAGCTTGGTTGTCAACAAAAATCTCAGTGCTTTCTTTCTGCTCTAGATTGAGATCCATTAAAATTTTTTTCAGCATATTGCCATTCTTCTTCTTGGGAGAATCATCATCCAAGTCGTCGAGGAAAGGGGAGCTTAGCAGCTTTCCAGTGACAATACCTAGTGTCATTAGTGCTTCTTGTTCTGCATTTTTTTGCTCTCTCAGCATCTAATATAGCTGTAGCATAATTCTCCTGATGCTCCCTATCTCTCTTTAGCTTTGATTTTAGCTTTTCATTCTCATCCATAATGCTTTGCAGCTATGTCTCCTTATCCAAGAGGTTTGCTTTCAATTCTGTGACTTCTGTAGTAGCTTTTATCAACCTCATCTCTGAATTAAATTGGCTCGCCATTGCCTTATTCATTTCATCTTTCAATTCATCATTCATTCGCGACATGGCTGGGAGTCCTGTTTCCATACTCAAAATGGGAGCTTTCAACTCTAAAAGTTCTGTAGTTGTTTCCTGTAAGGTTGACTCCTGTTCTAATTCCCTCAGCCCTGCATCAACTTTCACATGCTCAGCCATCTCAATTGCTGATTGAATCTTGATAGTGCTTTCAATTTGTTCCTCATGCATTGGATTGAGTGAATAACTCATCCCTGCCATCTTAACTTCAAACATCTTTTGTCCCGTAGCATCCTCTATCACACATACCTTCTCTATGAACATCACTTTGAATCCATTTTCTATTAATTGACCAACACTGAGCAAGTTTTGATCAATATCTGGTACATAGAGAACATCGGTGATCAACTTGGTTCTTGAACAACCTGCAATAGCTACGGTGCCCTTTCCTTTGACTGTAATACATTCACCATTCCCAATTCTGACCTTCTTGGACTCGGTGCTCTTCATATTAAATAAAGTCAATAAGCTAACATAAAATTCATAATAAATAAAATTTATAAATTTGTATCCTCATATCACTAGAGTAACAAGCAATTCTTGCCAAATGCTTCTCTGATAAAAATCCTAATGCAAAAGAAGTTAGCAGGACAGGTTTTTAATAGCAGACATGTAAGTAAAACCACCATCATAACAAATGCCAGCTAAAGGGGCATTTACATGTATACCACCCAATTCCTATGTATTTACATATACAACACCTTAACCTTCTAAAAATGCCAAAAAAGAAAGTAAAAGACAATACCTGCATGCCAGTTACAATCCCATGATGGTTCCAAAATGAAGAAAAGTTCCAAATATATCATCTGACATAAATTTGGGGAAAAATAATATAAAAAATAGCAAGGATTAACCTACAAAATTTGAGAAGACTGGCAAAAATGTATGGCTTAAGACAATTGCCAACTAACAAACTATGAGTTATTCAAGCAAAAATTCTGACTTGAACTTTGAAGGCTAGAACCACAGAAGCAAACTAAATACAAATTTTGAAAAAAAAAAAAATTAGTTGGTCTGCATAAAGCAACAGAAGGAAGAAGGCAGTCACAACTTTAGGTGCTGCACTGCTTTTCTTTTTTTTTTTTGTTATTAGGTGGATCTTCTGGTTTAATATCAGCAATTACAGGCATACAATTACAGGCCTAACAGAGGACCCTATAAAAACGACAAAAGGTAATAATCTGTCAATTCTACCAACCTGTGGAGAAGTGTTAGAAAATCATAGAAAAATAAGAATAATTATGTCGAACCTTAGAAAAAATTATACCCAATGCAAGCAAGTATCCGAAAAATCAGACATATCGTAGTTGATCACGACGTTTACAATCTAGATGTCAATTCTCCTCCTGACTAAATCAGTAGCAATAAGAATCCTTTTTATGTCCTTCCTTGAAGCCCTTGTACCTTGTTAATCTACAACTAGCCAAAAAGAAATATATCTAAACTTATATGTTAGCATTAAATATTAATGAAATCTTGAAACAATGCCACTAACCTCAATCCTATAATACATTGAATTCAAACCATGAATTGAATCTAATTTAATAAGGAGGCATTTACATACGCACCACACAGTTCTTTTGTATTTATATATCGAACACCTCAACTATATTATTAACCTTCAGAGCACCAAAATCTTTAA